ATAATCTCCTCTCTGCCTCACCATATGGCATCCTCCAGAAAGATATAAACATTTTCAGATGGTCACAGAGAGAAAAATCATTTTCTTTCTTCAACAGAATTATTTTCAACAGGAGTCTAGAGTCTCTAGTGAAATGCTTTTTTCTTTTAACCTGTTCTTTTTATTGTTAGTCCTGAATTTGCACCACTATCCCCATTTTCCTGAAAATTAGCCTTAACAGTCAGCATTAGGAATAGCCCAAATGTCTAGCAATAATGAAATAGTAGAGAAAATATGATACATATATTTGCAAAATGGTCATGAGGTCCAAGCTTGAAAAACAGGTCAGACTCTGTGATTGATACTATAATCCACAAATCTCAAATTCCTGCCTGATGCTTTTTTTTTTTTTTTTTTAGCTCATTACTTCATTAACTGAGAATCTCTGAAAATGACAATCTTGTTTATTTTCTTTTTCCCAGTGTTACAGCAAAAAGTGTGTGTGGGGGGGGAATTAGTGTAGCTTTTAGTTTTGAGACATAATGTTAATTCAGTCATATGAAATTGTCTTTTTCAAAGGTTCAAAATAAAGAAATATCTGGATCTGGCAGCACAGACCTGTAATTTTAGCTCCTCAAGAGGCTGAGGCAGGAGCATTGCAAGTGCAAGGTCAACCTGAGCTACAGGATGAGTTCAAGTCCAGCAGGCTACACAACTTGGTAAGGCCTGATCTCAAAACTGAAAAAAAAAATAAATAAAAATGAAATAAATAAATAAATAAATAAAAAGAAGCGTGGTATGTAGTTCAGTGATAGCATATTTGCTGAGCATGCATGGATACTGAATTAAATCCCTAGTACCCCCAAAACAAAGCAAAACAAAACAAAACAAAAAAAAGCAAATAAAAAAATAGCAGAATCTTATATGGTTGAAAAAGAAAACTTTAATAATTGCAGAATTTTTGCCGGGTGTGGTGGCACATGCTTTTAATCCCAGCACTTGGGAGGCAGAGGCAGGCAGACCTCTGTGAGTTTGAGGCCAGCCTGGTCTACATAGTGAGTTCCAGGACAGCTGGGGCTACAGGGAGACCCTGTCTCAAAAAGACCAAAAGAAAAAAATTGCAGAATTTTAAAATTTTTACTGACTCACTTTGATTCTGTTCACCTTCCCCATTTATTTCCTAATTTCTTATTTAGTTTTGTTTTTAAAATCCACTGTTTAATACTAATTTATCTTCTAGAGAAAAGAACCAAATGATGCCAACCTCATAGACGGCTTAATCAACAAAGTAGTATGGAACTCTCTCGATTTCTTTCACTCACTCACCTTTTAATTAATTCAACAAACTCTAAAATACCAATGTAGCATGTACTCTGTTAGTTACGTGCTAAGCAGTGGGAGCGTGTCTGATACCAAGGAGGGACATCTAGTTCCTTGGGACTGCTTTAATGTAGGGCAGAAGACACAGCTATCGGCAAATAGTGACTAAATGACTTATTTCAATTAACAGGTCAAATGACTAGTTTCATTTTTTTCAGCCAGATTATTTGAATGTTTGTTCAACTTGAGTAAATCTACTATGATTTTATTGTAAAAAAGAACCATCTTTGTCTAAAACAATTTAAAATTTTATTATGAACTATTTCTGGCATTTATTTTAAATCTGCTGACCCATAGATATAAAGAGAGGAAAAAAGTATTCTCAAAATGTGTACCTGGACTACTTGAATCTAAGACAGTTCTCTGTGGTGCCCAGACACTTTTAAATAAAACATAAGGCACAATATTGAGTGGCTTTTGGAAGTGAAGATGTATATTCAACAAAAATTAAATCAATTTTAAAGAATAAAAGTAAAAATAAAAAGAATATTAAATAAATAGAGCAGAACTAATATCACTAGGTTTGAGTCTTAGTAGTGTTTGTTGGTGGTGTTTTGTGGCAGTAAACATGGTCTCTGGGTCAGCAAGTCTAAGCAGGGTCGCAGTTGGAAAATCAAGCATTAATTAGGTTTGGAAACACAGAGCCAGGTTTCAAAAACGCCATCTTTGAAACACTGTGCTTAGATTGAAGAACCACTTACATTTCCTTCAAGTGCATGTCTAAAGTTTCGGTCAAGATTTAGAGTTTAAGATGTTTGTGTTTACATCCCATGTATACCCACGCCAACCAACCTAGGTGGCTGCCCTGATCATGTTCCCCAGGAACATTTGTTTGAATTTCCCCCTTCTCTCTATTTATAGTACTTATTTTCAACATGTTTCCACTTTGGAGGAACTCTTGCTTACACAGTGTTTTTTAAAAATTGAAATGTTGGCTCCTATATCCATCCCAAGCTTTAATCCACACTTGCCATTGGGCCCACCCTTGGGCTTCTGTGCTGGTTTGGGTGTGCTTAGAAATCAGAAGGGAGATAAGTTGCTCTCAGATGGAGAAAATGCCCACTGATATTTCAAAACACTACTGAGAGCAAGTTAAGAATCACAGCCATTGGTTTCCATCTCCTGTTCCTAGGTTTGCAATAATTCAGTCCAACAGGCAATAAAAGAAATGATTAATGATTAGTGGAACTTCTATTTATTGTGTGTGTGTGTGTGTGTGTTGCATTCAGTTCTTGCCTTCACATCTCTGCAAGGAAGGCATTAGTATCCTCACTTTAGAGGAAAAAGTCCCCACAAAAAAACAAAAACCAGGACCATCGAGGTGCACTAAGTTGCCCAAGGATGCACACAGTTAGAAGTACTGTGATTGGCCTGACTGCCATGCCTGCCGACTTTCTAAAAGTAACACTGCTCATGACCCTGAGGCTTCACGTTAAATGTACATCTCTTCACTAGAGAATGGACAAAGGCCACACTGACCACTGGGTGCATTCTTACCATGGTGAGGCAGTTAGAGGCACCAAGAAGCTGAGGATCAGCAGGCAGAGTGTGCTGTGCGGCCACACACGCCATCTTAGTGTCTTCCTGCCTCAGGCCCTGGAGATGGTCTTGGTAGACTCTGAGGACCGACCAGTTCAACACTGGCTTGGACCCCAGTGTCCGGCCTTTTCCAAAGATAATTAAATGGAAAATACCTAGTATAAAGTGACATTTTAAAAGTGTTTGGGAAATGGATCTCCTAAATGAGCAAGAAAGTAGGGAAGACCTGACTCTTGATCTGTTGGTGATCTTTCTGGGGAAGTGGACACAGTCCTCTGAGGTAGCCTGGTGTATTGGGGTTCTCAGTGTCAGAGGCCCCTTAAACCGTCTCCATACCATCTCTCATTTCTGGCCCATGACATTTGGAAATGTTTGCCTATTAGCTTTATCTAGAAATATCTAAAACTTCAGTCTCTACAGAGAAAAAGCAGGGTGCACTGAGAAGTAAAAGGTCCATCTGTCTGAAGTTTTGTTCTCCTTGATCTTGGTGGAAATGGGCACAGGCCTCCTCTCCTCTGGGTGGGGTTTTGTTTACTGCTTAGCAGCCATCGCCTTCCCAGAAGCCTTTTGTTTCTCTAAGTCCCCTAATTTCTACTTGAGCTCCAAAGCCTGCCACAAATGGACCAGCGAGGAGCTGAGGCAAAAGCAGCAAGGTTGAACAATCTTCCTGGCCAGTCTCCCAAGCCTGAAGCCATAAGTCCTAAGTTACTGCCCTCAGCAGCTGAAGTCACTGATCTCCCAGAGGCTGTGGAAGATTGTTGTCCCTGCCCATAAGGATGGGCTGCTGTGGGCTTGCTCAAGTGCTAGTGCTCCACAGCCCCGTGTGAGTCATACCCACCAGGCCCTTTCTGAGAATAGCACCTCGATCTTACAGAAAACCCCATGATTCCTAAGCCCTCAGAACCCCTGAGGTGCTGGCCCAAGGCTGCACATGTTTCCTTGGGAGGAACATCTGTGATGGTGGCCATTCCTGCCCTCCCAGAGTTGTCACTCAGCAAACTCCCACACGGAGGCAAGCTGTGAAGTGGAGGAAGGACACTGCTCACAGCTACCTTCCCTGTTTCTCTAGATTCAAATATAGCTTGTCCCATTTCTTGCAAAAACACCAGGACACCAATCCCCTGGGCATCCATCTGGTCTTCTGTTTACTTGTTTTCACCCCCCAGTGTCTGAGTTGGTAAGTGTGGTGGAGACTCACACAGAAAAGCCAGGCCTCTGTGGGCTACAATGAGAGCATGTACACATTCGCTTCTGGGCTGTTACTCATGGTGGTGACTTAACAATGTACATTCTTCCAAGTTCCCTACGTTCCATCAGCATCTCTGGTTTTCTGGCTCAGATAGAGAGCTGCCCACGGCGAGGAGTTTGAGTACGTCACTGAGCCAGGCATGCATGGGTGTCTCATAGTGCAGCTGTTGGCCACGGTGGCGGACAACCAAGACAGGATGAGCCTAGACATAGACGTTTTGGGCCAGGAGGTAGCAAAGTGCCCTTCAGAAGGCCACAAACTTACTATTTCCTCTATGCCACTTCCCTCCTTCATCAACCCCATTTAGTCCCTAGCCCTATAAGGTGTTTCAAGTCATGGAGGGCTGCAGGCCATGACCCTCTCTGACTGATCATAGTAATGTTCTTTGTGAGCAAAGGAAGAAAGAAAGGAGCAGAGTGACAATGCCAACTAGGGAGGAAAGGAAGAAAACACCGTATCTAGAAGACAGAGTAGGACACAGCCTCACTGATGTTTACTGATCCTGCGTAGCTTCTGTTTTTTGAACACTGTTTCTCCATCCTGGTCTGCCTCAGTTACTCTTCTGCTTCCTTCCTGCTTTCCTTTCCCCTCCACAGATTTTCTTCTCTCCTTCCATCACTGCAAAATCTACAACTCTGAGTGGCTGTTTTCAAACAGCTGTCTCTGAACCAGTGCCCAGTTTGATGTCACCAAGCAAATGCCTGCATGGGACTCAATGCTGTCCTGCCCCGCAGTCCATTGACTTTGGGAAGACAGACATCAAAAGAGACACCAGCTCTTCACCTCCACTCTGCTATCCCCAGACACGCAAAGGGCATCTATAAGTTCCCAGCTTTGGAAATGTCAGCCTTACCTGAGCCTGAGAACTGGACCTGAAGGATGGCTGCTAGAACGAATGCCTTCCACTTCATTTTCTCCTTCCCCCAGGATGATGCCCAGAGACAGGGGCAGCTGTGTCTGGGACAATGGGGAGAAAGGGAGGTGCTGAAGGAGTCTCTGCTGGCTTTGTTCTGTGGCTGCCACCCCAGGAAGTAGAGGATCAAGGGCCTTTAAGAAAGCACCTACCACAGCGCCAAGACACTCGTGCTCCCCCTTTTGGTTTACAGGCAGGAAGCTCCGGAGGTTTGAGGGTTTGGGGGTGAGAGTGTGTAGCTGTCTTTCTTTCATTTGACTGTACTTTTAATGTATCTAATTTTTTTCAAAAGTCTTGACTAATTTTTATCTGACTCCTATTTTGGTTGATGAAGTCAGACCCTAAGCAAACATAAGTTCTCAATGCCTGTAAGAACTCTTACCCTTTCCTAGGCCATTGAATGTTTTATGGAAGTTGGAAAGTGGCAGAGCTCCACATGGACAGTCAGACTAAATGCAGAGACAGGCTATTAGGCTTTTAGTGATATCACCACTTACCTACTTGCTGTGTGGCCTTGCCTATAACATCCTATACCTCTAGACTTCAACTTCTTTATCTTAAGAGCAAAGAAAGGAGGAAACTTAAGGTTATGGATCTGAACTTGACCTCAACTTAGACCATAAATAGTATAAAATACTATAGCTCACACAGTATTATATATACGTTATATATATATATTATACAGGGTCTCATTATGCAGTCCAGGCTGGCCTTGAGCTCATAATCCTCCTGCCTCAGCTTTCCCAGTGTTGGGATTACAGGTGTGAGTCACCACACCTAGTCAAAGGCTTGTGCTAATTGTTAACATTTAATCCTGGGAGTCATTTACAAAAGGAAAAAGATTAAAAGCCAAGAATATTGATGCATTTTGCAAATCTTAGCACTCAGGAGGCTGAGACAAGAAGAGTGTGAGCTTGAGGTCAGCCTGGGCTAATAGTGAATTCACGGCCAACTTGGACTACATAAAGACTTTGTTGACAAACAAAACAAAAAATGAAAACAGACATAATCATAATTAAAAGCTGTAAGATCTATATAAAGCGAATTTTGAAACACTACCGAAAAATGCAGAAAACTGTGAATGGAAAGCTGCTTATCTTTTATCTTTGACAGAAAACTCCCTCTTAAGAAGTCCACAGTTGGCCTGGTGCAGTGGTGCACGCCTTTAATCCCAGCACTCAGGAGTTGGAGGCAGGCGAATCTCTGTGAGTTCGAGACCAGCTTGGTCTCCATAGCGAATTCAGGCCAGCTGTGGCTACAGAGAGACCCTGTCTCCAAAAGACCAAAAAAAAGAAGTCCGCAGTTGTTTCTAAATTAATCAATCTATCACTGAAACAAAGTATTGACAAAATTTGGGCCAGCAAGATGGCTCAGTGGGTAAAGGCACTTGTTGCTAAGCCTGATGATCTTAATTTGATCCCCAGGATCCACATGGTAGAAGGAAAGAGCTGACTCCTACAAGTTGTCCTCTGGTCTCCACACATATGCTGTAGCATGTTCAAGAGTGCACACTCACCATTCCCGACATAAGTAAATAAATGTTAAAAATATATTAACAAAAATTTTAAATGAAATAAGCTGATTCCAAAGTTCATATGAAAAAAATAATGTGTAAGAATGGTTAGACTAGGGCTGAAGAGATGGCTCAGAGGTTAAGAGCACTGGCTGCTCTTGCAGAGGACCCAGATTTGGTTCCCAGAACCCACATGGTGGCTAACAACCACCTGTAACTTCACTTCCAGGGCATCCAATGCCCTCTTCTTGCCTCCTCAGGCATTACACACATGTAGTACACTGACATACATGCAGGTAAAACACTCATACACATTAAAAAAAAAAGGAATGGTTAGACTACAAAAAAACACAAGCAATAAAAACCAAAATAGATGAATTAGATATTAAACTTTAGAAGTTTGATGTATCCAAAGAAGCTATGAAGCAAGTAAAAAGATAATCCACAAAATAAAATGTTTGGAAATCATATACTGATAATGCTTTAGTATTCAAAATATATGAATAACTTCTATAATTCAACAGTTAAAAATTTTTACATTGGCCTTTCTTCAAAGAAGACACACAAATGGCCAGTAAGTACCTGAAAAGATGCTCCATTGTTAGTCACCAGGGAAATACAAATCAAAACCACAGTACAATATTGCTAAAACACCAATAGGATGACTGGCTCACACCTTTAATCCCAGCACTCGGGAGGCAGAGGCCCGCGGATCTCTGTGAGTTCAAGGCCAGCCTGGTCTACATAGTGAGTTCCAGGACAGCTGGGGCTACAGGGAGACCCTGTCTCAAAAAGAGCAAAAAAAGAAAAAAATGGTAAGGTCCCTGTGAAAAACAATTTGACAGTTCTTAAAAAGTTAAACAGAGTTTCCACAAGGCCCAGCAATTCCACTACTAAATATATACCCCAAAGAATTGAAAACATATGCTCACATAGAAACATGCACAGAAATGTTCAAGGCAGCATCATTTGTAATGGCCCCAAACAGCAAGCAATTCACCACAACTGAGGGATGGATAAGCAGTTGTGGTGGATTCAAACAATGAAACAAAACAACCATGAAAGGAAGTGAATGCTGTTACATGCTACTGCTTCAAGCATGGATGAATCTTGAAAACATGCTAAGTAAAAGAAACCACATTCAAAAGACCACATGTATGACTCTATTTATATAAAATAGCCAGAATAAGCAAATCTGTAGAGACAGAACATGGATTAGTGGTTCCCAGGGGACAGCCAGAGCAGGCAATTGAACTAACTGCTAATTGGTATGAGGTTTCTTTAGGGGATGATGAAAATGTTCTAGAATTAGATGATGGTATACAAGAAAACTAATATGCTAAAAGCCTTTGACTTGCACACCTTAAAATTTAAAATGAATTCTATGGTACAAAAACTCTATCTCAAGGTAAAATTAGTGCTATAACAAATAAAATGTAAGGGATTTGAAATAATTCTGCTAGATGCCCAACATTATGAAGTGATACAATACTATTTGGTGTTATAGACCATATAACCTTGAACATACCTAATCTCATTTGATCAGGCCTGGGTCATACTTGGATGGGGGACTTATACATATATTTAGTCAAGTTGCTTTAGATAAAGCTGCAAGAAAATGCCAGTGGGGGAAATAATAGACTTTTCAGTAAAAAATACTAGATCAACTGGGTTATCTTTATGGGGAAATTACTGGGTTCTTATTTCATACTATACACATAATATACAAATAATCTAACATGGTTCATAGACCTGAATGTAAAACCTAAAGTATAGCATTTCTGGAATGAACCTAGGAGAATAATCTTTGTGCAGGACAGAAAAAAAGCACGTTATAAATGATTAAAATGATAAGCTGAATTTCATCAAAATTAAAACCCTATGCAAAACCAAGTCATAAAGAGAAAAATTATTTATAGACACATATATTAGACAGATGACTTGTATCTAGAATATATAAAGAACTCTTTCAACTCAATATAATATAATCAGTTAAATAAGGAAATGGGCACAAGCAAATACACAGTTCCCAAAAGAAGATATGGGAATAGCCAATAAAAGGTGGAAAGATGTTGGACATCATGAATAATGAGGAAAAACAAACTAAAGCTACAATGAGACACCATCATGTGCAACTCAGGATGTGGAGAAACTGGAACTCTCACACACTAGCCATAGGAATGGAAGGTGGTACAACCATTTTAGCTGGCCTGGAACTTGCTATGTCAACCACACTGGCCTCAAATCTCACAGAGATCCACCTGCCTTTGCCTCCTGAGTGCTGAGATTAAAGGTATGGGCCACCACACCTGGCCCAATTTGGCCATTTCTTAAACAGTTAAACGTACACTTGCTATATGATCTAAGCACTCCACTCTTAGATGTCTATCCAAGAGAAAAGGAAATATATGTCCCTACAAAAATTTGTACATGAATATTCATTGTTTTATCTGTAGTGGAAACAAATTACAAGCCACCCAGATGGTCATCAAGAAATGAATAGGTAAATTGTGGTACATCTATTCAATAAGATGATACTTAACAATATAAAGCAACAAACTATAACAAACACAACATGCTTGAATCTCAAAAATCATTATACCATGTGAAAGAAGCCAGGCCTTCCAAAAGATTCCTTTTGAATGAATGAATGACCCCATTTTTATATAATTTATGTAAAGTTCTACTAAAATGTTGTGACAAACTTCAAAGTCAAACAATAAGCCAAGGAAAAGTGCTTGCAGCAAGTAAGAAAGGGCTTAGTTCCTTAATATGTAAAGAACATCTAAACACTATTCAGTTACAGAAAGTAAAGTACAGGTGCCATACACTGTGCTATATGCTGAATATATAAATGGAAGAGAAACTAAGACTCCACACACACACAAAAGTCTCAAGCTGGTGGAAGTCTCAGCTCGAGGATTAGGAAAGGACTTGGATAGAAAGCTCATGGAAAAGAAAGTAACAAACAGCATTTTAAGTGAATGGAAAATTATTAATATCACAATAAATACAAAATAAGACTAGAATGAATACACTTTTATTTATTTTATTTTAAGTGTATGTGTTTTTTACCTGCATGTATGTAAGTACACCTGTACATGCAATGGTCATTGGAGCCAGTAGAGAGCATCACATCCCCTGGAACTGACAGATGGTTGTTTGCTGCCATGTGCCTTCTGGGAACTGAACCCAGGTCCTCTGGAAGAGTGCCAGTGCTCTTAACCACTGAGCCATCTCTACAGCCCCAAATGTTTTCTTTTGTTGTTGTTGCTGTTTTGGGGACAGGGTCTTCCTGTAGCCCCAGGTGTCCTGTAATTCACTTAAGTAGACCAGGCTGGCCTCAAGCACACAGAGATCCGCCTGCCTCTGCCTCCCGAGTGCTGGGATTAAAGGCATGTGCCACCATGCCTGCCCCCCAATGTACTTAAAAAAAAAAAAGCTATTCGCATACTGTCTGTTAACCCCTCTACTAGGTTTTCATCTTCTCTTTCTTCCCCAGGACATCGCTCCCAAAATTCTCTTGTCTCCCATCCACATCCCAATATTTTCTTCCAAACTGGATGATTCCTACCAGTATACAAGAATGTTATTTCCT